ATTTTTTTATCACTACTTAATTCATAATTAATTAACTCCTTTACTTAATCAATAACTAAATAAACTTAATTACTAATTAATTTTTGAATTACTAAATATAATTATCAAAAACATTAATTTTTAATTACTTAACTCCTTTACTTAATCAACAAATAAATAAACTTAATTACTAATTGATTTTTTAATTACTAAATATAATTTCGAAAATTATTAATTTTTTAATTACTAATTATTTTTGTAATTACTAAAAATTTAAAATATTTCTAATAAATTATTAACAATTTTCCAAAATAATGAACTTATCAAAATACCATCAATTAAACTAATTAAATTAATAAATAGCATTTCACAATAAACTAACTAAATTAACAATTAACAATAACAATTAGCAATTAAACTAATAACAAAAAAAAAATTAACAATAAAAATTAATGATGACTAAATTTCCTTAACAATAAAATTAATGATTAAACAATTAAACTCTCACAATTAACAAAAATTAATGATAATTAAATTTTTCTTAACAATTAAACTAACTAAATTAACAATTAACAATAAATTAACTAAATTAACTAAATTAACAATAACAATAACAATTAAATTAAAAAATTAAAAAAATAAATTAAGTATATAATTAAAAAAAATTAAAAAATTAATTAAGGGGTTAGATGAGGGAGGACCTTTCACCAACACAAGGAGGAGAGTGGGCTGCGCCGGTGGAGGGGCTTTGCCGATCTATTACGGCTAAAAAATGGTCAGGTTAAGGAAAGAGGGAGAAAGGAAGAAAGAAAGAGGAAAAAGAGGAAGAAAGGGGGAGAGATGGAGGGGAGAAAGGGAAGGAGGAGAGGGAGGAGGAGATTGGAAGGAAAATAAAGGAGAGGGAGAAGATTTGATGGAAAAACAAAAGAGATTGGCGTTAGAGAAGAAGAAAGAGAAGAAATTTTTTTTTGTAAATTTTCGGAGACATTGTTATATAGGGGTTGAAAGTTTTAACTATGGTTTAAAAATCGTCACTAAATGTCTAAAAAAGCTGAAAAATAGCCATTTCCCTTCAACGGTCTATTTTTTAGCGACGGTTTTTAGACCGTCACTAATTTAGAAATTTTGCAACGTCATAAAAAAGCCTGGAGAAAAAAAAATTGAAAATGGAATTAGCGATGATTTTTTTGGGAAAAAACCGTCGCTAATTGACATGAAATGGAATTAGCGACGGTTATGTAACCGTCGCTAATTTTCTTGATTGGCGATGGTTTTTTTAAAAAAACGTTATACAAACCAAAAAAATTTCCACTTAGCGATGGTTTTTCTATACCGTCGCTAATCTTTCGATCACTTAGTGACGGTTTGTTAAAAACCGTCACAAAAACAACTGTTTAGGACAAATTTAATGACGATTGTAAATACCCTCACTAAAGTGCTTCAAACCGTCGTAATTTTAGTAAATTAGCGATAGTTTTTAGACCGTCGCTAATTTTCTCTCACAAATTATGTGTTTTGTGGTAGTATTGATCATCTCAAAATATAGATATTTTAGATATGAGAATCTTAATTTTCAATTGAAACTTAATAATAAACTAAGCTAGTTCTCAAACTCGTTTAAGTTTTTGTTGGAGAAAATTATTGACTTATTCAACAAAATACTTTACTTTTATTAAACAAAAATAATCAAGGTAATTTTAGTAAATAAACTATACAAATTACTTTATATATATATATATATATATATATATATATATATATAATCGAGTATAGAGCTCCATCAAGTCGGAGGATACCTTCTTTACCTTCCTCCTAAATAAATTAGGTATTTTTATCCATCTTCAGCTCTTTCTTCATGAAGATAAAAATTTCTTCGTAGTTGCCTCCAATTCGGATAAAGAAAACTGACATCTACGGAGGTGAATATAATTATCATCCATGGTCTATACACAGATGCAACATTAAGCTTGAATATACATCAAAACAACATAAAATTATTGTAGCTAGTCTATACCAACGTGAACTTTGAGTGCACAAACATATTTTGTTGGTTGGAAGTGAATTTACATATAAACGATTTTTGAGAAAATAATTTATTTTTCAATAGTTAGTTGTATCATGAGAAATGAATTAAGAATCATTTACTCATGTTTGATTGTGTACTGGGTTGGGTCCTTTTTCATGTGGGACTCAACACTTATATAAAAAACAAAACAGAAAAAAGAATACCACAGAAAAAGAAACAAAAATTGCCTAAGCTAAAGTCACAATAGACGTGTGTATATATAGCAATCAAAACAGGGGTGACTAACAAAAACAATAGCAGTCGCCGACCAGAAACGAAAAAAAGAAGTTTTGATATGTTATTCTCGGCGATAAACCCTTCGATTTGAACAGTACTGATTATTAAAAAATTTCTATCTTTAGTATTTTGTAAAAACCTATTTAATGAGATCTAACTTTTTTCTTCATTATTATTTTAAAATCTATCTTTATAGTGATGATTTTGATGCATTAATGTATATATTTAAGAAGAATTGTGTATCATATTATTTGATATAGTAAAAGAGTTTGAGTAGACTATAATCCCATTATTTTTTCTCACTTCTGGATTTTTATCTAAAAAAATTCATATATTGATTGTACTTGTATTTATTTATTCCAATTTAATTATTATTGACTTTAATATTTTAATTCTAAAAGAAAGAGAAAGGAATTGAAACTTGTGTTTTATAATTTTGATTGGTATAGTTAAATTTTTCCAACATTGTGTCATAGAACATAAGCTTGAGAAAAAAAACATTTTTGAGTTATTAAATTTTTTAAAAAATTGTAGAATTTTTAAAATAATATTAACAAATATTTTTCTGATATTTGAAGAACACTGAAAATAACTTTTCTTTATAGTATAATTTATATGATCTATGATTAATGTATAATATAATATGTTGTGCATTCTAATGTACTTTTTTAGCAAATAAATTAAAACATTATATGCACTGATTTATTAAATTAATATAATTTTATATATTATATATTAATATGTCCTCATGTATTATTCCCTAGTAGCTTATTATAATGTAATAGTATTATATATTTTTAATTTTTTAATCATATATTAATGTCTATATCCATACGCAATAGCTTGGGATACTGTCATGTCATACATAGGGCGGAAGGAATTGCTGTTGTTTTCGACCACTGTATTGTTACTTTCAGCATAACCTCGTCGCATCTTGTTCGCAACGCAAAAAATCTAATGTAGAGCACCAAATTGTTTTTGGGCCAAGGAAGTCCTATTAGCGAGGATAGATCTTTGAGTTCTGAAAAAGAACGTGGAAAAATATGTTAGTTTTGCGTGTTGCTGGGGGTAAAGCTCGGTATAGACCACGACAGAAGCCGAGGGAGTATTGCACTACTTACCACTTGTTTGGATATTTCTTCTTGGGAGCAAAGAAAGTGAGAGAAGAGAAAAATGAGAGGAAAAAAATTATTTTTCATTTGGATACGAGTAGAAATGAAAAGAAAGAAAGTATATATATATATATTTTTTTTGGATAATTGCAAAAAGAGGAAGGAAAAAAATGTATTATTGTATATTTACTATAATACCCATATGATTATATTTCTATATTTAAATACTTATAATAAATTTGTATGAATATTTTTTGAATAATACATAGAACAAATGATAATAAAATAAAAATCTAGCATGTCGCATCTATCCGAAATGATAAGATGGATAATGAATCGTCTTCATAGAATAATCGATAACTCGTTTACTAATTAGTTAATTCAATAGCCAATTTAGATTAATTATCAATATAAAATTAATTTAAATATGTATAACATGTATTATTATCTATGCATATAACAAGTTAGTTGCTTTAACCCATCATTTTCTCAACTTTTTTTTTGGATTAAAAAATTACTTTTTAGCAATTCAAAAAAAGATAGTATATGGTAGCATTGCGAACAATCATGAAAAGTCAATTGAATCACAAAAATAAAGATAAATTACATATTTGGACGAGATAAGCATAACCCATTACTCGAGTGAACACTCCAAATTCTATCGTAAAATTTGCGAGTTCCCGAAAGCCCAAGGTAACTTTTGTTGCTTATTTTTTGGTCAAAAAGACTCAATCAAATACAACCTACAATATCATGTTATGGCTGCCAACAATCCAACACACGAAAATATATTCAGCCTTTTTTGTTTTTCAATAATAATTTTTATTTCTTCTTTTGCAGTAACTTCAAAAAGTGTTTAAGGGATCGTTTTGAGGGATGTTTTGTGTCTGTTTTGGTGGGTTTTTTCGGGGTTTTTTCAGTGTGGTTTGAGCATGTTTTTGGAGCTTCTTTGGTGGTTCAAATGACTCTGTCCAAAGGGGTTTCTCTGTAAGGGTTTTGGGGGGTTGTTGGTAACAGTTTCAAGGCTGAGTTTGAGGGCTTTGGATAAGTGTTGGGTCTGTTTTGGGGTTGGTTTTAGGGCTATTTTTTAGGGTGTTTTGGGACTTATTTTTATCTGTTTGAGAGCTAGTTTTGGTGCTTTGGGGGAGGTGTTTGGTCTCCTAAGTACCGGATCCAAAATGTGAAAGGGTTGAGGAATGAAATGATGATAATTCCTTATGTAGAGTCATAGGCTAATATGCAAAAATAAATCATGGCCCCCAAGTTTTAGCTTTGATTCTTACTTGTTTATCACCCTCAAGTTGTGGATTTGATTTTCTTATGTGATTATAAATCCTAGTAGACGTCAATTTTTAGATGGAAATGGATGCATTCACAGCTGCTACCCATGATCCTATCAATTCAGCTCGATAAAAAAAATTAATTATAAATTCATTTTCTTTACATGAGTAATAACTCTTGGATCGGAGGATGGATAAATGGAAAAGGGAAGACAATTGAAAGAACAAAAACATTATGTGACAATTAACAAGAATCGAAGTTAGTAAAGGCAATAAAGGCTTCCATGCTCCGAGAGAATGTAGATGCCAAATCCCTACTCGAATAACTTAAGCAACTGGAGGCCGTAGAACATGATCCCGAGAGGTATCAACAATAGCGAGGGCATGAATTGCCACATAAAAATTCCAGGATAGCCAACGAAAGGCATTGGCTTGTTGCCAACAACCCTTCTTTACTACACATAGCAATAAGGGAATTAAACGTAATTTGATCCGGTTGCACTCCATTTCTCAACATCTCATCAAAAATCTCCACTACTAGCTTAAACTCTACTGACCCATTTTCCCACAGGCATCAATAACAACATTATAAGTAACCAAATTGGGCTTCAAGCCATAATCTTTCATCGAATCAAAGACCTTAATAGCCTTATTACAATAACCACTTCTACCATATGCACTAATTATAACGAGAAAGCATAAACAGTATTTCCATAACCTTCAATAAGAGTAGCCTCAAAAACACTCTTAGCAGTCTCTACTTTACCTAACCTACCAAGAGTACTAATCATGGCACTCGCCAATTTACCTTGTTCGTTCCTTTTCCTCTCCCTTTTCACCGCAAATTCAAAGCAACAAATCACTTTTTTACGGTCTCCTCGATTAAAAAAGCTCCCGAAGCAAGAAAATATAATCATCCGACCCGGAAAGACGAGACTCGAAATTAAGCAACACATTTTCAAGGGCCCCTCGTCTTTTCCATACTCTATTACTTTACGGAGAGCTTCAGGCAACCGAGGTGTGGCGAGTGCCCATGGTGGTTATGGACCTCCCGAAATGGAGCTTGGAAACAAAGCGGGTGGAGCTGCGATCGAAGAAATATGATGCAAGTTCTGATTTTGGGGACTCGTATAGAAGGAAAGGTAAGGTGGATTTATGGGTTGTGAGTTGTGGTGGTGGTGGCGACGGGTTTTGGTGCATTGCGGAAAGATGGAAGGAGAGCGGGTTTGGTAAGAGAGACTTTTTATTAGCAGTCCATCTTTGGTGGGGGTTTTGGTGGTGGATAAAAGGTTTAATAACTTGATTTACATATCCGTTTTACAAATGCGATAGCGGAGAGTAGAAAATGAGGGGGACGGCTAAGGCAAGGGAAAAAATGTAAAAAACAAAAGATATGTCTAACGCTTTTCTCCTAGTTTCCTCCCAATTTTGGGAGGAAAATGGATCCCACAAAAAAGACATTTGTTTAATATTTTTTTCTTTCCACTACTTTCCTCTCCAAACCAAATGGAGGAAAACTTTTCTTTCTTCCCTATTTTCTTTCTTCTCTTCCACTTTCCTCCCTATCCAAACAAGGGGTTAAATATACGAGAGAGCACATGCTCGGATCTTGTATGAATGATTGGGATTGCACAAAAATCATGTCCGTCCAAAATACTTTCTTATTTCATACAATTCATGGGTCCAAAGAAACTCTTTTTTCTCTTTGTGATTGACGAGTAATGTTATACGTCGCTACACAATATTGGAAGAGACTTTCAAAAATTTAGGTTTTCGGATATTTATAAGTGATTTTAAAAATGTGAATGATTATTGAGTTTGGAGTCACCACTTAAATGAACTAAGAATCTAAAAATAGTATTGATGCAGAAATTCTCGCGTAAGGAATTGGTTACACTTTAGAAAAATATTCATCACCCAAAAAATCATTTCCTAAGAAAAATATCACGTCTAATTTAGTCCTAAATTCATCTCCTAAAGATATTTTATTTATGCCAAGTTATTTTTGACTTAAACTCTAATTTTTTAAGCCAAATTAAGTTTTTTATTTTTGGGTGTGGCATTGTATTGAAATGATCGTTGGTCCCTTTCGTTGGGCAACACATCGGTTCAAACATCGGATCCACTTTAAGTCTCGACACAATCGGTATGTCGGAAAACATCCCGATTATTAAATATTGATGACGTATTTTTAAGATCGTTGGCGAGGAACATTATGAAACTACGCAAAAAGTTAAACAAACTTTACAACGTTACAAAAAACTTCATTACATTATAGCTATCCTTGGGTTGGACGAATTATCCGAAGAGGATCGCTTAACCGTAGTAAGAGCATGAAAATTGAGGGTTTCTTATCACAACCCTTTTTCGTAGCCGAAGTAATTCGTTGGTTCTCCGGGAAATTATGTCAGTCTAGTAGAAACAATTAGAAGTAGTACAAAAGTAGTACGGAAGCGAACTTGATTTCTTGCTAAAATGATATTTATGCTTTAAATTAAGATGGGATGATTCTTTAAATCAAAAAATAATCAATAATATCAAAGTATATTGTCTCCTGCTTAGATCGAAAAATCCACAAAATTGTTATATCCTCTATTCAAGGGAGGGAGCTGAGTCTAGATATTATAATGATTCGAAAGATTTAACTCTTATAAAATTGATGAAAAAGAGAATATTGATTATCATCTAAAGCACCTTTTACTAAGATCAATTAGATTGGAGATTTTGCTAGGAATTTTAATTAATTTTATCGATGGGGAAGCTGTCATCGGTCTCTAAGAATTAGAAGACTTGACAATTCATCTACATATTAACTATTAATCTAATTATTGACATTTTAATGAAGAACTCGTCATCGAGTCCTTAAGAATTAGGAAACTCGACAATTCATCAACCTATTAATTATTAATCTAATTCTAGACATTTTGATGGGAAATTGTCATGAGTCCCTAAGAATAAGGAAGATTCGATAATTCGCCTACCTATTAAATGCTAAACTAATTTTGAAACAAAATCCTAAAATTAAAATTAGCTATTAGTCTTCCTTTTTTTATCATTTATTATTTTTTTGGTCAACGATAGTCCCTATCATATAGAAGACTTCATCAAGAATTTTAATTAATTAATTTTTGTTATTGTTTTTTTATTTTATTATTATTGTTTGTTGATAATAAATTGTCATTAATCCTTAAAAATTAGGAGACTCAACAATTAATTTATCAAATAACTATCTAACCAAGATACTATAATAAAAATTCTAAAATTTAAAGTTAATTAAATAAATTAAAAAAAAGACATCTAAGGAAAATTAAAACTAAATTAAAATTGGAAATAAAATGCATTGATAAACAAAAATAAACATGCTTTAATTATCTAAAAATAAAAAATCAGAGCTAAAAAATCTGTTGGCCTCTGACCCATTAGGCCAGGGTCATTGGGCTAGAATCTCTAACCTTTCTAATTATCCTTCTTCTTCTTTTTCTTTTTTCTTTTTTCTAACTGGATCAATTCTAGTTTTTATTACGTTTGATTTTTTACTTTTTTGTTTTTTTTTTTTTATGTATATATATATTTTTCGGAGGGGCAGAACCTGGACCAAAACCAGCTTCTGCCCAGTTTCTTTTTTCTTTTTTCTTTTTTAAGCTAGGGCTGGACTGGGCTGAAACCAGCCCAACCTCTTGTTCAGTGTGGGTTGGACTTGGCCCAACCCGTGTTTCCCTATTTTAAAACTTCTTGGCAGGACTAAGCCCACAAACAGCATTTCTCGTTCTTTTTCTTTTTCTTTTCGATCAAACAAACTCTGGTACCCTCTCTCTCTCGTTCTTCATATTCCCTTTTGTTCTTCGATTTCTCTTTACGTTTCTTACAATGATTAAACTTATTTTTATGACCCGATGACTAACTGATTAATTTCACTTCACCAATCAAAACTGAAATCTAAGATCTAATTACCAAGACAAGTTACGAGACAGAAAATTTAGAGGATTGAAACTAGAATACTGAAGAAATGAAATTGACCTGAGAATACAGATTATTGGCTTGTGGGATGAATCAAGGACAAATGGGGTTTTGGGGTGATTTCTAAACGACAAGAAGGTTCTTAGTTGATGTGGGATACTTGGATAATGCTCGGAATCTAAGAATCAATACCAGCAGTTGGATGAAAGTAGATAATGCTAAAAAGTCGATCATAATTATTAACGTATGCATGCCACCAATAATCAGCTGTGGGACTGGCATTTCATCAATTGAACTTTCCTTTCCGGTGGTAAGAGGGAAAGAGGCCATCACCATGAGTGTCGTTTTCAATTTAATATATATGTTCTGAGATCTGAATCAAATATTAAATGGACAGATGACCATGGGACTGATAAAAAAAACTTGGGAGAACTAGTTCTTATATATTGTACAAAACTATAACTTGAGCTTAAATAAACCTCTTATTTAAATTAATTAAAAAAATACGAAAGTAAATCTTTGATGCAATATTTTTAATCTTCTTCTTCTTTTTCTCTATTCTCTAGTTGATCGTCTCATAATATAGATATTTTAGATATGAGAAAAATGTTACTTGAAAATTTGAACTTAAAAATTAACTAAGCTAGTTCTCAGAACTCGTATAAGTTTTTTGTTGGAGGAAATTATTGACTTATTCAACGATTAAATACACGTTAATTTTGGCATTGTGAGACATGCAAGTAGTTTATATTAAGGATAGCAATTGAGGTTTATAGAGGCGGATGATGCATTCACCTCCGTCTCTATACAGGCCTTCTAATTTCTATATATACCGACCTCCATTTATGACAGAATCATTTTTTATCCTGGGCTAGATGATTTTTTTCATGATCAATTTTCCTTAAGTAAAATACATAAATCACGGAAAACAAAATACTTTACTTTTATTAAACAAAAATAATAAAGGTAATTTAGTAAATAAACTATACAAATTACTATATATACAGCAATCAAAGGGATAACAAAAAAAAAAAAAAAAACAATAGCAATCGTGGCCCATAAAAGAAAAGAGGGAAAAGAAGATGAAATTTTGATATATTATTCTCGACGGTAAACTCTTCAATTTGAAAAGTGTTGATTATTAAAAAAAAAAATTTTATATTTTTAAAAAACCTATTTAGTGAGATCTAATTTTTTTTTATTATTTTAAAATTTATCTTTATAATGATGATTTTAATAATTTAATGTATATTTTTTAGAAAAATTGTTTATCATACTATTTGATATAATAGAAGAGTTTGAGCAGAGACAGTGTAGAACACGACAGAAGCCGAGGGATTATTGCATCACTTAAAGACATGGAGAGCACATGCTCGGATCTTGTATGAATGATTGGGATTGCACAAAAATAATGTCTGTCCAAAATACTTTCTTATTTCGTACTATTCATGGGTCCAGACTCCAGAGAAACTCTTTTTTCTCTTTCTGATTGACGAGTAATTTTACAGATATTAGAAAATTCAAATATCAGATTTCGCATTGAAGAGGAAGTTATTCTAGCTTTATGATAAGCACGGTGCACATTTCGTGTATGCTTGATTCTCTGCTTTTCTTGTTTGCCATGAAAGGCATCCAAGCAAAGAAGATCAGAAAAGCAGTGGGGATAGTCCATAGAAGCTTCAAAGTTCAAAAACCTACGTATATAGGTCAACTACCGAAAGACAAAAGGAGTTTCCCCCTTCCTCTCTCAAAAAATAAAAAGCTCTTTTCATTCCTCTCCTTGCAAAACAAAAACATATGAAAATGAGGCAAAAGTTTGCTATGATTTAATTATTTACTTATATATATATATATTTCAATTTCATACTCTAAATTAATGAAATATATCAATATAATTCAAAAATAAAAATAAACAAATTAAAATTAAAAAATCCATGAAAGATAGATATTTTTTCATTAAAGTAAATATGATAGAATAATATTAAACTAAAAAATAATATGATAAAAAAAAATTAACAACAACATCAATGATCATTTTTGTTGTCTCTCCTATACTCTCTTATCACCATATCATATCTAAATTTTTTATCTAATTCTTCTTCAAATTTTGCTATAAAATATTTAAACAAGAATTCTGAAGAAAAAAAATTCCATGTGGTTAAACTGACACAATGAGGATGGGAAAAGTTCAACATTGCTTCGAGTTAAATTAAGTGATTGTCAAGTGGAGGTTGTTGATGAAT